TTTTAAAAATTGCATGGTCAATTTCGAAAGTCAAAGTCAAGTTGTATCATCTTTGACCAAGGAATATTTTAATAGAAGATAATACAATGGCATTTGGTAATTTTCAAGATTTATTAAGGGCAATTTTGGTATTTGGTTCAAAAAGGAATAAAAAAATTCATTTAATTAGTTTTAAAGGTTAATAATTAGAGATATTTTTGGAGAACCATCGTGAAACTCTTCTCTCTTCTCCAGCTAGCTGCTGAAACCCATAGACAAGGTGAGTCAATTTGTTTTCTTCTATTTTTGATCAAATTTGGTGAGTTTTGGGATTAAATTGTGAAATAGGAAATTGTTCTATCCTATTTTCTCTACAAGATGGTATAATTATTTCTTGGTTTCATGCTTAAATGTGAAAATGGGTATATTTATGGTGGATGAAGAGGAAGTGTGATTTTTATGATTAAAGATCAATTCTTGATATTAGAAGTGTTGTAAGAATTGAAGAAGAACCAAGGATGCAAATTAATGAAAACAGTTTAGATTTTAGAATCTGGCAGTAAGTTTGAAAATTCACCAGAAATTCTATAAAAATTATTTGGATATGATTTTTATATATATTATGTTCTTATATCAATCTAGTTTTGTTTAAAACAAACGGAGATCAATTTCAATGTGTATACAGAAAGATATGAATTTTTAACTGAGGAAAGGTCAGAAAAACGGACAGTATATTCTGCACAAAACAGATTCTGTTGATCAACTTTGAAAATTCACTATAAATTGTACAGAATAAATTAGAAAGATTTCTTTATATGGATAGATTCGTATCCGAGTCTAGTTTTCAATGGAAGAAACGGAATTAAATTCCAGTGTGTATATCAACACAGAATACTGATTCTTTAAAGATAGTGCAAGTTGTCTGAATATGGAAATTTTAGAATTTAAGTTGAAATGGATTAGAAGATGAAGAGTAATTTTTAAATGTAAAAGTATCATTTGGGTGAGTTAGAATAATTCTGGAAATTCTGGAAAGTGTGCTGATTTTGGAGTTTAAGTATTAAGTTGGGATTGAATTTCAAGTTTATCAAGTTGTAAGGTTGAAATTGAAAAGCCTAAGAAAGTTTAGGATGAAATTGTAAGCATTTGAGTGTTGAATTATTGATTTGAACTTTTATTTTAGTTGCTGGAAATTTTATATATTTGATGGGAAATAATCATAATAGTGAAGAGCTATTATGAAATTAAAGGAAAAGTTAAGTTGAATTCTAGAAAGAATTTAAAATATGTGGTTAGATTTTATAATTCGTAAAAGTTGAAGAATCATGTTGAAAATAATTATTTATGGAATTGAATAAGTGTTTCGATAAGTTTGAAGTTATAATGGAGTTATGAGTATGGTTGTTATCGATTTTACTATATAGATTTTCAAATGTTAAAACGAGCTTATATTAGTACGATACTAATATGTAGTTCGAACAATTTTTGTTTTATAATTTGGTATTGTCAGACTACGTTAAATCTAGCAATCCGAACGATTCGAAAGGAAAGGACAAAGCTCGTGACTAGGATTATTATATACAAGTTCTGTAGTGAGGCAAAGGTGAGTGCAATTATTTATTTAATTATTTTGATCGAGGACGACTTGCGATAAGTCAACCTCATTCCAATTTATAGTATGATTTATAAAGATTATTTTCATAATATTTTATATCAGTTTTATGAATGATTTAGGGTATGAACTGCCCAAGCATGATATTTTGATTATGGATTTAATTATGTCACATGAGCCCATTGTATGTATAATGAGAATTATGGGTACACTTGGCATGCCATTAGTTGAGTATTATCAGCTTTGGTACATTCTTGTATCAATGTTATCATATCAGCTTTGGTACATTCGTGTATCAATGTTATCCTATCAGCTTTGGTACATTCGTGTATCAATGTCCAGCACCGTTGGTGCTTATTCAGGTTATGATGGCACTGAAGTGCATCATATCTCAATATCAGTTACGATTTGCACCGTGTTGTGCATAGTGCGCACCTTACTCACGTATCTTATGTTCTTATAAATATGCATTGGGCTATGAAAATGAATATGCAAGTTGTGAATGATTTTCAGTTAACAAAAAGCATGATGTGCTTATTTTATTAGATATGATTTATCAGAATTTTCATGAGTTCATGATTTAAAAAGAAATTTCAGGTCTCAGTGAAGAAATCGACTTGGATAAGTTGGTTTGCCAGTTTAATGTTTTAAGTTGAATTATTTTATTTACGTTTATGATAAATTTCAGATTTTACTCACCCTAGATTATTATTGCCTCACTAAGTTATACTTAGCGCGTGATGATTTTCATGCGTAGGTTTTAATAAGGATAAGTACGATCTGTAAGGAGCTATCGGAGCATCTTTCTGGAAAGACATACATATCATCAGTATCAGTAAGATGTCTATGACGTTTCTTTTGACTTATAGTGGCATGTATAATTATGTCAGTAGTTTCTAATTATCGTATTTATTTTAAATAATTTGTAATAATAAACTAGAATTATTTTAGTTTATTTTACTTAATTTAGTTTTATCGGTATCTATGTATGACAAGAATTTACTACATTATTATGTTTTAAAAGATTTTACGAAAAGATATGGTTTAGTAAAATTACTGAATAAATAATAAATTTATTTTCCTGTAATAAAGAAATAAATTATAAGCTGAAATATACTTTAAAATATATTTTTAAAGTTAGAACCAGAGTGTTTTCAAAAGAAACAAATTTTTACGAAAATTTTAGTTTAGTAAATGTTTTCAAGTTGATGTGACATCTTTGACTAGTATATTGAGACATATACGGGTTAAAGGTGTTACAAATAACGTTTACAACTAAAAGATATTACACAATATTTGCAATTCCAACACAATTTTTGCTCCATTCTCAAACTTTGATGTGGTGATGCCGTTGATGCTCTCCTGACTCCTAGCACAAAGACAAATAAGTTATTACAATATGCCCTAATTTGTAATAAAATTGTATTAAACTTACATGTAAGAAAATAATAAATGACAATATGAACTTACTTTACCTTGAATGAGATTCCTTAGTAGTTTTTACCAGTGGCATCATTAATTTGTGTCACGCAACTATCACTCAATTCTGAAAACAAAAAAACACATTCACCACATAACATCAAACAATCATCAATATTCAATAATAACGCTGCAAATTAGAGATAGATACAGAGTGAGAGAAGAAATAATACGAAAAAAATACATGAATTTCAGGAAAAATTAATCAACAAGTAAACCCTAAAAAACAAAATCTCTAATTCTAATATAAATTATATGATAAGATTTAAGGAGAAAAAGAGAAAGAAAAAGAAATAATGAAATGAAAAATAATATATCTGACTTTGTTGAATGAAAACCAAGATATTGATGTAGTGATTGAGTGCTTCATCAATGAAGACGCGTGACAGGGAGAAAGAGAGACAAAGAGTGATTGCAGTTGCTAGGTGGGTGAGTTAGGGTTTTTAATTTTTGGCTCTATTTTTTTAACTTTTTACGTTTAAAGTATTTTTTTAGTATGTACTCAGTTTTATTTGAGCTCTAATATTTTGGATAATATAATGTTATGCGGTTCCGATTTCAGGGTATCCGGTATTGGAACCACGTTTAGCCAGGTATCCAACCGGTTCCGGTTCCAAAATTTTGGGAACCGAAACTGATGTCAATAGGGTCCTTATTTTACTACCTAAAACCAAAACCACTGGGATCGGTTTTGATTCCGAAACAGGGTTCCCTGTTCTTTTGCTCACCCCTAATTTGGCGTAATCTTTCACAGGGAATCCCAACAGATTACGTGAAACTTTTGGTGGGGAAAGTTAAGGCCCGACCATTTCCTTTTTCGTTGCTACACGAAATTCATATCTGCCATTATACCTTTCTCTTACACCCATAAATACATACAAATCATTACAAGAATTTGATACAAACACTCTCTAAATGTATAAAAGTATATATATTCATATTTAATATTTATATTCGAATTATTAATAGGTTTAAGTTGATAATTATATCTCATTATGATAAAATAATTAGGATCCTTAATCGCTCTTTTTTTTTTCTTTTAGAGTTTTACCGTTTTTTATAGATCAAATCAATTTTTTCTACTTTTATTTTGTTTAGTCGGCAACAACACTGGTTTTGATGTTAGTTGCCAACCAATGATTCTCATATCTCTTTGTTTCTTTTTTAGTTTTTTAATAAAAATAATTCTGTTTTTGTGGCACATTTGTCTTTGTTTTTATGGAACGTGTATCTCTATGCCTTTGTACCACGTTTTTCGTCTTCTTTTTCGGTCGTTTGGTTGTTCTTTTTGTTTTATGTTTTTTCAGGGTTTGATTTGACGACGTCACGACTAATCAATATGACGCTTATTTGTAATCTAGTCGATCTTCCCTGCTATGGACCTTCATATTGAATTTGGATACACAATTTCACGATCGTGGATAATTTCTCACGACGCTCAGCTCTGATTTGCGGTTCTCGGTGGTCTTTCAATAGCTTAATCTTCTCTTATGGTTCGTTTGTCGATGCAGTCAGATTTGTTTGTATCTATTTTTTGTTCGAGTGTTTTGGTTGGGTTTTAAACTTTTTCTATGTATGTCCTTATACGATCTAAAGTGGTTAGTTCAATGTTATAGGAAAATATTCAAATTATATATTTAGTTTACAATGATAGGTGTGAAGTCTTATCGTAATTTTGAATATTCACTTTTTAACAAGAACAGTTGTTTTTATTCTATATATATATATATTTATATTTATATTCGAATTCAAATTTACAAATGCAGTAAACCAATAGGAGATGTCATCCCCACCAGATCATGAATTTTCTGTTGATCGATCCTACATATTTTTTCGTAGGTAATTATAGACAACTTCCCCTACTTTTTTACCCATCCCTACCTGTATAAATGAACCCACTTGGGGGCTCGTTGTTATCGCCAAGCTCTCACAACCAATATTGCACTTGCTTTGATTGTTTTTGAGCTTTTATCTTTTGTTCCTATAAATCAAAGAAAATGAAGCCTGTCCTGCTCACATTCCTGCTTGTTTCTCTTATTCTCATCTCCTCTCTCTTTGAGGTGTCAATGGCAGGCCATGCATGAAAAAACAACCCAAAAATTCCCAGTCTTTAGAATGGTTTTCGATTTGTTCTAATGGTTGAGTTCGTGGTTTGATCCATGGCAGGTTCTTGCAGTTCCAAGTGCAAGACGAGGTGCTCAAAGGCAGGGGTTAAAGGAAGATGCTTGAAAAACTGTGGGATTTGCTGCAACAAATGCAAATGTGTTCCATCAGGGACATATGGGAACAAGCATGAATGCCCTTGTTACAGGGACTTTAAGAACTCCAAGGGCAAGCCCAAGTGCCCTTAGATTCCCCCCCCCTCCGCCCAAAATACCCTAAAACAACTAGAGCCCTTGAAAAGGACCATTAAAGGTTTCTACTATAAAGCTATATAATAATTAAGGTTTATTTATCTGAAAATCTTAGGGTCCCTTCCATGGTCTATGTTGTCTCATTTGCTTTCATTTTCCTTGTTAAAGACTGTTTATTTTAATTTTAGTTTTATTTGTATGAAAACAATGGTATATAACTTATATATATATATATCTGAAGATCAATGAATGAATTTACATACTGAATTTGATTCTTATTACATAACGACAATACATATAAAATTATCATTCACCGTAAGTAAATTAATTATTATTATTATTTTAATAGGAGAAAGAGTATGGATTTGAACCCTACACTACAACAAAACTAGCCTTTAGTGGCATTTGTAGCGGTGTTTTAAGAGTAAACGCCATTAATTTTAAACATATAATGATGTTTACATTCCAAACGCCACAAAATGGTAATTTTAGCGGCGTTTCTTCAAAAATGCCGCAATAGGGATTATCTATAGTGGCTTTTTGTCGACAAACGCCGCAACTGAATAGTACTTTAGCGTTGTTTTATACAAATGCCACAATAGGTCCATCTATAGTGTCGTTTTGTAAACAAATGCCGTAAAAAGAGGAGTACTTAGCGGCGTTTTTATACAAACGCCGCAATAGGTCCATCTATAGTGGAATTTTTTCAATAAACGCCTCAACAAATTAGTACTTTAGCGGTGTTTTTATACAAATATCGTAATAAGGTTAACCTATAATGGTGTTTTTCCAAAAAACGCTGTAAAAAAGTTGTATATATTTTTTAAAATAACAACATATAAATTTCTTTACCACCAAAATCACTATATAAAATTAACTCTCAAGTATTCAAACGACCTTAAAGCACGTCATCTTTCACATCATATTCAAATATAACTCTCAACCATTTGACATTAAACAATCATATTCGAACTTGGGACCTGAAGGAATAACAATAATTTCTTTACCACTAAAATCACTCGATAAAATTAACTGTTTTTATTAACTTGTAAATGATTAAAATATAATGAATTGATAATGTAAATGATTAAAATTTTCAAGCTACCTTACAATGATCTCTCGTACAACTCTCTTCCCTCTTTAAATTTAGTGTTCTTCTAGTTTAAATCCCTACTTTTTACTTGGTTATTTTTTAAATTTTAGTTGTTGTTAACGGTTTTTTGTTACATATTCTTTTGGACGATTTCTTTTCTGTTGATTTCCTTAAGCTATTTAAATGTAGTTAAGGGTGTTTTAGTGGCGTTTTCTTTGAAAACGCCACTATATTTATATATTTAGCGGTGTTTCTATTAAAAACGCCACTAAATGATAACATAACGGCGTTTTCAACAAATGCAACTAAAACTCATACTTTAATGGCGTTTATTTGACAAACACCGCTAAAGATAAGTACTTTAGTGGTGTTTTTTAAGCAAACGCTGCTATAAAATGATAAATGGTGGCGTTTGTGTCTACAAACACCAGAATATTTGATAATTTTAATCATGTGAATCCCTTTCCTCTTTTCCATATGTTCTTCCTATCTCCTATCTCCGCCGGACATACAAAGATACCCACGCAAAACTGGTGATGCTCATCACTGGTCTAAGCCGTCGAGGCCTCCAACATTACGCCATTAACGCTACGCCGTAAAGAAGCTGCACGGCTTGCTAAAAGTGAGCAGAAGGCTAAACAGCTAAACAAGATTCTGATTCATTCTCCCCCGGCGTTTTCTGTGGCGCCAAAAGGATCTCATCTGTTTCATTTTGAACCAAACTTCAAATCTCCCAAATCTTTCTCAAGTTTTTCCTTCAACATTCTCTTCATATTTTTAAGTTTTATTTCCTAAACTTCAAGTACAGTAGGTTGAAGAAAAACAGAGAAAAATACTATTTTTTTCTTTTGGTACAAAACAGACGGTAAGCAAAGGATAAGGAAAGCGAAAGCGAAAGTAAATGCTAAGATTCTAGCAGATGTTATATTTTAAAAGCGTGACTGAATGGACAACTAGACTCAGTTCCAGCTAGGAAACAGTGGTTCAATACCAGGCCAAACGATTATGCATAAACCCCTTCCGATTAATTAAGGTTGATCAATCACACATATCTTATAGATAATTGATCATCACAAATAATCCATTCATTGTGTAGAATCATATTGCATGATCAGTTAAACTTTACCTGGAAATAATTGATGCTCATAGGGAATAATATATTTGAAAGGCTCTGACTGGAACTGACTGCAATAGTATAGTAATAAGTATTTGAATAATTGTGGTGTAAACAGTTTAGGTAGCTTAGATTCAAGCCCTAATCTTCAAGATTTGCCATTATCATGGCTTTATCACAAACGAAGATGCCTAGATTCATTTGGTGTTTTCTAATAATGATTTTGTATGCTTATTCTTGTCGTGGGTTTTATCTGCCTTGGAGTTAGATGCACACGTATTCAACTAACGATGCAATCTATGCCAAACTTCATTAATTTTCTTAAGTTTTGTCGTCTCTAGGACTGTAGATAGATATACTAATATGAACATTTTGAAGTTTGCTATATGATTTAGGTAAGAAAAATATTGTACAGTGGTACTGAATGTATTTCAACATGGTATTACTTGTTACTTGCTTTCTTTACTATACTACCTTGTTGATAGTAGTGTTTTATTTCCATTTCAGTAGATAGAATAGTGTTTTAAAAATGTTCAGTTGTTTTTGCAATCATGGTGATTTTCGGTTGCAAGCTGGGTAGTTTACAGGGGATGTTTCGTTTTGGTGGGGGTTATTTGGTTTCGCGTTGTCCTTGTATTTTTGGATAGAAACCTTGAATCCATCTTTCGGCAGAGCATTTATCAATTACTTAGAGCATTTATCCATTACTAATAATATAAATTATGAAATTAACTATAATGCTTATGTTTAGTTTCTTACTTTCTCTATCATATTTGCAATTAACATTAGAAATTGATATTCCAGAAATATGAAATGGATAAGAGTTGGATGGATTTGTCAAGGGTAAGCGACGAATTTCGAAATGAAGTCGAAACTTTCTAAATTTAGCTTTTTTGAATGCAAGCCAAGAGAATATGATTATTTTCCCTTATAAGAAGTGTGCTAACATTAATTGGCACATTTGTGAAGATGTGTACGAGCATCTAGTTATTTTTGGATTTGTTCGGGGTTATAGAAAATGGATATTTCATGGAGAGTTTATATCTGATAGATCTTCTTCCACGAGTTATTCGACTTAGCCTGCTACTTCTCACCATCGATCTGTTAGAGAAGATGACATGGAAGGTATGTTGCGAGATGAATTTAATATGCACAATCATAATCAATCTGCTACAAAAAACGATTGCGACAATGATGTTAATGATTTTACTGAGATGGGAAGAAGTGGATGTGCTGAAGAGCCAAATGGAGAAGCGGCAAAGTTTTACAAGTTGCTTAATGAAATGAATGAACAACTTTATGAGGGATCAAAATATTCAAAGTTATCTTTCTGCATTCGTCTTTTCCACTTAAAATGCTTGGGAGGGTAGACTGATAACTCTTTTACGAAATTGATGGAGTTTCTAGGAGAAATGTTTCCTTTTGCAAAAATCCCTCAATCATGCAAAGATAAAAAAAGAAAATGATAAAAGATTTGGGTCTTGGATATGAGAAAATTCATAGTCGTCCGAATGATTGTATGTTGTTTTGGGGTGATCGAAAAAATCAGGAGTCTTGTCATGTATGCGAAAAATCTCGATGGATGACTAGGGACGCAGAAAATGTGAGTGAGGATGAAGTTGAAGCATGATCAAGAAAGAAACCGATAAAGATTCTACGATATTTTCCTTTCATACCTAGGTTACAAAGACTATTTATGTCCTCCAAGACTGTTGAGTCTATGAGGTGGCATCATGATGGAAGAACCGATGATAGATTATTACAGCATCATTCAGATTCTTTAGCTTGGAAGTCATTTGACAACAAGTTTCTAAGTTTTGCGAGAGATCCTCGAAATGTCAGGCTCGGTCCTGCAATTGATGGGTTTAATCCTTTCAAAATCATGAGTAATTCGTATAGTACTTGGCCTGTTATACTTGTTTCATACAATTTTCCTCTGTGGATTTGCATGAAACAATCATCTTTTATCTTATCCATGATAATCCCTGGCAAGAAAGGTTCCAGAAATGATATTGATATTTATATGCAGTCGCTTATGGAAGAGTTGAAAAAGTTATGGAAAGGGTCGAAACATATGATGTGTTGAAGAAGAAGAACTTTAATTTACACGCGACTTTATTATGGACAATTAATGATTTTCCTGTGCATGCAAATTTATCTGGTTGGAGTACCAAAGGTCGTTATGTTTGTCCTTGTTATACTACACAAACATATTCGAAGTGGTTGTTTAAAGGAAAAAGGTTCTCCTATATGGGACATCGTCAGTGGTTAGCTGATAATCATAGATTTAGAAGTTAAAAGAATATCTTTGATGGTACTGAAGAGTCTCGAAAAGATCCTGACCAAAAGATCGGGTCTGATATATTCTCCATGTTGAAACATATCAATTTACTTATGGAAAGATTAATCAACCACCGAATACACGATCAAAGAAAAAGGCAAATCAGGTGTTTGATTGTGATGTTGACCTATAGAGTGATGATGAGTCTGATGAAGAGGATGATCCAAATAAGGTAGACTTGGGAAAAAAGATGAGTATATTCTTCGAGTTGCCTTATTGGAAGGACCACATTTTGAGACACAATCTTGATGTAATGCACATTGAGAAGAATGTTTGTGAGAATATTATCAGGACTATTCTCAATGTCGACAGAAAATCTAAAGATAATATAAAGAGTCGACTTGATTTAGTCGACATCGAAATTCAGCATGATCTTTATCCGCAATTACATCTTAATAGAAAATATTTCTTGTCGCCTTCTATTTTTTCTCTTTCGAAGAAAGAAAAAGAAGTGTTTTGCACGGTGTTGAAGGATATAAAGGTCCCAGATGGGTATGCGTCAAATATATCTCGA